TGATTTCATTGCAGGAGTGCAAGAATGGTTAAACATGCAAATCAATAAATGTATTTCATCACATAAATAGAATTAAGGACAAAGATTACTTAGACATCTTGATAGATGCAGAGAAGCTTTCGACAAAATTCAGTACTCATTCATGATAAAAACACTGAAGAAACTAGGGATAGAAGGAACCTACTTTGACATCATAAAAATGAATGGTTTATGAAAACCCAAAGCCAACATCATACTGAATGGGGAAAAACTGAAAGCATTTTCTTTAAAATTTAGAACAAGACAAGGATGTCCACTCTCACCACTTGTACCTAATATAATCCCATTCATAATATCCTTAAAAATATTTAGAAATAAATCTAACCAAGGATCATCAAAATACCAATGACATTCTTCACAGAACTAGAAAACAGCAGTCTAAAAATTCATATGAAAGATAAAAGCCCCAGAATAGTCAAAAAAAAATTTAAGCCAAAAAAGCAAAGCTGGAGACATCATATCTGACTTGAAATTATATTACAGAATTATAGTAACAAAAACTGCATGATACTGGCATAAAAACAGACACATAGATCACTGGCACAGAACAGAAGACAGACAAACTCACACATCTACAGACATCTGATCCTTGACAAAGGTCCCAAAAACACATTGGAAAAAAGACAGCCTTTTAACAAATGTTGCTGGGAAAACTAGTTATCCATACATAGAAGAATGAGACTAGATCTTTATCCCTCACCCTGCATAAAAAAATCAACTCAAAATAGATCAAAGACCTTGTAATTAGACTAGAAACTATGCAACTTCTAGTAGAAAATGTACGGTCAACACTCCAACATAGAGGCGCAGGCAAGGACTTTCTCAATAGAATCCTTAAAGTTCAGGAAATAATGGCAAGAACTAATAAATTGGTGACATCAAATTTAAAAGTTTCTGCACAGCAAAGGAAACAATTAAGAATATGAAAAGAGAACCTACAGAATAAGAGAAAATCTTTGCTAGCAACTCTTGTGACAGAGGATTAATATCCAAAATATTTAAAGGACTCAAAAAATTTAATACCAAAAAAAACACCCAATTAATAAATGGGCAAATGAACTAAATAGACATTTCTCAAAAGAAAAACATATAGGGGCTGGGGATGTGGCTCAAGCGGTAGCGCGCTCGTCTGGCATGCGTGCGGCCCGGGTTCGATCCTCAGCACCACATACAAACAAAGATGTTGTGCCCACCGATAACTGAAAAATAAATATTAAAGAAATTCTCTCTCTCTTTAAAAAAAAAAAAAAGAAAAACATATACATAAATGACCAACAAATATATGAAAAAAAAGTTCAACATTGTTAGCAATAAGGGAAATACAAATCAAAACTACACTGAGATTTCATCTCACTCCAGCTAGAATAACAAGCATCAAGAATACAAACACTCTCCCCTTTTTTAAATGGAGTGTGCTGGTTGTGTCTATGATTCTGTTGAGATGACTGAAGAACCTGGAAACGCTGTTGCTGCTGCTGATGCAGAACATACTACTATTATTGGTCTTTTTATATAAATATATACATAAATACACACACACACACATATAGATAATTTGAATTTTTGGAAACTTTAGCTGTGCTGTCAACTTTGGAAAAAGTATCCCAGTTTACCGTGTTGAGTTGGCATTGTACAGAAATTAACAGCCATATTGGTCTAGAAACGTTAAACTTAATTTTTTTTTTCCATTTGTACAGGGGTAACGCACTGTATTGAATATGTAAGGTCTTATCTACGTGGGTTTGATTACAGAAACTAAATATTCTCTAAATAATGAAAAAAAAAGAATTCAAACACTGGGCTGGCATTGTGGCTCAACGGTAGAGAGCTCGCCTAGCACATACAAGGTGCTGGGTTCGATTGTCAGCACCACATAAAAATAAATAAATAAAATAAAGGTATTGTGTCCAACTACAACTGAAAAAAATTAATAAACAAAAGAATACAAACACATGGGACTGGAGTTGTAGCTCAGTGGTACAGCACTTGCCTCACATGTATAAGGTCCTGGGTTCAATCCTGAGTACCACATAAATAAATAAATAAATAGATAGGTAGGTAGGTAGGTGAATAGATAAATAAATAAATAAATAAATAAATAAATGTATTGTGTCCATCTACAACTAAAAATATTTTTTTTAAAAAAAGAATACAAACACAACTGTGATCCCAGTAATTTTGGAGGCTGAGGCAGGAGAATCACCAGTTCGTGGCCAACTTATGGAGGACCTAAGCAACTTAATGATACCTTATCTCAGAAAAATAAAAATACAAAGGGCTGAGGATATGGCTCACAGGTAAAACATCTCTGGGTTCAATCCTCAGTATAAAAAAAAAAAGAACACAAAAAATAACAAATGCTGGAGAGGATATAGATAAAAAGGAACACTTTAACAATTTTGGTAAACTGTAAATTAGTACATTCACTATGGAAATCAATATGAGTGTTCTTCAAAAGAGTGGGAATGGGATCATACTATGACCTAGCTACACCACTCCTCAGTATTTACCCTAAAAATCTAAAGTTGGGCTGCTGGAGTAGTGGCTCCATGGTAGAGCATTTGCCTGGCATATGTAAGGCACTGGGTTTGATTCTCAGCACCACATATAAATAAATAAAATAAACATCCATTGACAACTAAAAAACATAACAGCCACACTATGGAAACAGCCTAATCTGTCAATAGATGGATAAAGAAAATGAATATATACACAAGGAGTTTTAATTCAACTATAAAGAAGAATGGAAATTATGTCATTTACAGGAAAATGGTTGGAACCTGAGTATGTTAAGTGAAATAAGCCAAACTCAGAAAGTCAAGGGTCATATGTTTGCTCTCATATGTGGAAGCCAAAGGGGAAAAAGGAGAAGAAAGATGGTAGATGATCTCATGAAAAACAAAGAGAGGGCTGGGGATATAGTTGGTAGAGTGCTTGCCTTGCATGCACAAGGCCCTGGGTTCAATCCCCAGCACCACAAAAAAAGGCGGCGGGGGGGGGGGGGGGGGGGGGG